CGTGTTTTCCTCTTCTTTTTTTTTTTTTTTTAAGATTTTATTTATTTATCAGAGAGAGAGAAGGAGAGTGAGCGAGCACAGGCAGACAGAATGGCAGGCAGAGGCAGAGGGAGAAGCAGGCTCCCCGCCAAGCAAGGAGCCCGATGTGGGACTCGATCCCAGGACGCTGGGATCATGATCCGAGCCGAAGGCAGCTGCTCAACCAACTGAGCCACCCAGGCGTCCCTGTTTTCCTCTTCTTAAAAGAGGAAACAAACCAGTTTTGACATACTGAACCATCTGAGTAAGAAAGGGAGTGACTGTTAGATCAAGGTTCTTGAGGTGTAGAGAGATTAACCATACCCAAGAGAGGAAAAGAAAACAGAAGTTGTAGCAGATGTAAATGTAGTCTGAGTGCAGTCTAATTTTAAAGCTTGATGATCTCCATTTTCTCTGGAAGAGATTATCTATTGTGAATTGGAAAAGGTTCAGAAGTTCAAGGAAACTAGAGGTCATTAGAGGTTTAAATATAGGCGAATGGGAATCAGAGGTGCCTAAAAGTAAGTAGGAGTTTTTCTCAGGGGCACCTGGCTAGCACAGTCAGAAGAACATGCCACTCTTGATCTTGGGGTTGTGAGTTCAAGCCCTACACTGAGTGTAGAGTTTACACACACACACACACACATACACACACACACACACACAAAAAGTTTTCTCAGAAAGTCCTGCTAATGTGGAAGATAAAATGCTTCACAAAAGTAGAGATTCTGGGACGCCTGGGTGGCTCAGTTGGTTGGACGACTGCCTTCGGCTCAGGTCATGATCCCGGAGTCCCGGGATCGAGTCCCGCATCAGGCTCCCAGCTCCATGGGGAGTCTGCTTCTCCCTCTGACCTTCTCCTTTCTCATGCTCTCTCTCACTGTCTCTCTCTCAAATAAATAAATAAAATCTTTAAAAAAAAAAAAAAAAGAAAAGAAAAGTAGAGATTCTGTGCTTTAGAGAGTTGGCTTTCACAGTTCAGCCAAAGAGGCAGCATGCAACGAGAAGGGCCAAGACAATAAATAGGACAATTGCAGAAAGAATTGGCAGGCAGGGCTAGAGGACTGGTCAAAGGAGTGGGAAGCCTGTAACTGTGAGGAGGTAAGAATAAGGCAGAAAATAGAGAATACTTAACATTTGAATGGTAGTCAAGAGTGACAAGAGAGTATTAGCTGGTCTCAATTTAAAATAATGTATTAAAATGTACCTTTACCAGGGTGCCTGGGTGGCTCAGTCAGTAAAGCATCCAGCTCTTGGTTTCAGCTCCGGTCAGGATCACCCTGTATGAGATCCACCCCCCGACCCCCACCTTGGTGCTCAGCCCCAGTCTGCTTGAAATTATTCCTCTCCTCCTCCCTCCTCCTCCTCCCCCACCCTGCTTCACACCCCCACCCTCCCACAGCCCTGCTCAGGAGCTCTCTCTCTAAAATAAATAAATCTTTTTTAAATTGAAAAAAAAAAAAATTAAATCTACTTTACCAAAAACCCTTTCATAGCCATTGCCTCTTGGAAATGAAGGGCCAAAGGTTAGACTAGGAGACTTTTTACTTGTGACTTTACATTCTTTCATACTGTTAGGAAAAGATTTTAAAACATGAACATATGTCACAATTATTTAAAAGCCAGACAGGGGTGCCTGGCTGGCTCAATCACTGGACCATATGACTCTTAATCTCGGGATTATAAATTCAAGCACCATGCTGGATGTAGAGATTATATTAAAGTGTGATAGAGTATGCATTAATAGGTTATGTAGTTATCTAGAGTATCTATTTATTTTAAAGATTTATTTATTTATTTATTTGACAGACAGAGATCACAAGTAGGCAGAGAGGCAGGCAGAGAGAGAGAGAGGAGGAAGCAGGCTCCCCGCTAAGTAGAGAGCCTGATGCAGGGCTCGATCCCAGGACCCTTGGATCATGACCTGAGCCAAAGGCAGAGGCTTTAACCCACTAAGCCACCCAAGTGCCCCGAGTATCTATTTATTTTTAAGATTTTATTTATCTGAGAGAGAGAGAGAGAGCGAGCACGAGCTGGGGTAAGAGCAGAGGGAAAGGGAGAAGCAGACTTCCTGCTGAACAGGGAGTCTGGGGTTGCATCCCTCCTGACCTGAGCCAAGGGAGAAGCAGACTCCCTGCTGAACAGGAGTCCGGTGTTGCATCCTTCCTGACCTGAGCCAAAGGTAGACGTTTAACTGAATGAGCTGCCCAGCCACCCCCTAGAGTATAGTATTCATCAATAGCATTGATGTAGTGAGATTTTATGGGTGAATGAGGAAAATCATTAGAATTGAAGGATCCTACCTCATTTTCCACTCTAACACTCTCACATTAGCCTGTAAATTTGGGATTTCCTGACATCCTTTCTCTTGTTTTCCTCCACTCTAATTCACTTAGGGGTGAACCTGATACCAACTTATTCCAGCAAGAAAAAACGTTTATCAAGAGAATGAATTTTAGGGGTATCTGGGTGGCTCAGTCAGTTAGGCATCTGCCTTCGGCACAAGTCATTATCCCAGGGTCCTGAGATTGAGCCCCACATCGGGCTCAGGGAGCCTGCTTCTCCCTCTCCCTCTGCCTGCCGCTTTGCCTACTTGTGCTCTCTATGTCAAATAAATAAAATCTTCAAAGAATGAACTTCACACAGCATAGATTTCTCTATTAACTCAGTTGTACAGTTTGGAAAATGTCTCTGAGGATCATGGAGAAGGACACAAGGAGCTGGTAAAATTTGCATGGCAATGATAATAGGACATTCTTATTAAGGGAGCTAAAAGTCTAAGCTACTTCAAAGGTTAGTCTGGACAATTTCCAAAGTCAACTGTTTACCTTACCTATCCTTTTTCAGCCTTACATGACCCTAGCTGTAACCATGTGTGATTTTTATCTAAAACATGCAGAAAACAGGAGTGCCTGGCTGGCTCAGTCAGCAGAGCACAGAAACTCTTGATCTCTGGGTCATGAGTTCAAGCCCCATGATAGGTGTAAAGCTTACATAAAAAATAATGGAGACAAACAAAACATGGAGAAAACAGAGGGGGGATAAGTGAAAGGGAGGTTCTGCCTTAGAGTTCCACTACTTAGGTCTCTAGTGATTTAGCCAGCCGTCAAGTTGTTGTGTTGCAGAACATGTAAAAAAGTGTTCAAGTATTTGGGACAAATGAGGATTACGCTTTCACATCTGAAGGTGGTGCTTGTTACTACAGCATCGTTCAGCAAGATCCTGGAAAAGTATCTTAATATTTAATCCACGTTGGCTCTTATGCTATCACTGGATTTCAAAATGGGAGTTTTATACATTCTTCGAAGAACTTTAATTGGAATGTAGGGCTGGTCTAATCTAAAGAGAAATGAGAAAATCGATACTGTAACCCGAGCGGTTGTTTACCAATCAGCCAAATTTGGTAAAGGACTGCTCTTATTAAATGGTTGACATGGCTTTTCTTTAGATTGCCCTTTGGTTTACAAAGTTTTCCTTAACTTTGACAATTCAAATTTCACCACTCTATCTTGTTTACTTGTGACCCTTGTTTTTAGGGCAGGTGGTTTGTGTAGAAAGCTGATACAACCTGGGGCTGCAGGCTTTTATTTGAGTTCTGCAAGGTATCTTCCTCAGTATATGCAGGAATTCCCTTGCTACTGTGGACCGCCTCCTCTCCTCTTTGTTATTTGTGGAGGAGTGCTGGGAAAGTCTTGAACTTCTCCACTCCTCCTAAGCACAGATTTTACCGCTATTTGTATGTGGGACTGAAATGCATTATCGACACATGCCAAAGGATTTTTTAGCATCGAAAATGTTTTAGCCCCTACTAATTGGCTTCTCAGGAATTTCTTACTGTATCTTTCTGGATTTTTCCACTAGACCTGTTTTTCATATTTTGATAGCAAAGGGTAATTTGTTACAGATACAGGTGTAGAGAATTGGCTTTTTGTCTTAGCCTTCTTGATAAATGATTACTCATTTGCTCCTTCGTTTAATGTCCCACTATGGGACTTTCACCAGGTTTGGAAAGCATGTATTACTGAAAAAGAGGCATGGCAACCATGAATGAATAGTGCCTTGAATGAATAGTGCCATAAACACAACAGTCTACAGACCAACTGAATAAGCTAGTTTAGCTATTGCCTCTGTATGCTAACCAGCAGAGGGCTATTTCAATGGCATTTTTAAAAGGATGATATATTTTAGAAGAATTAAAGAGCTTAAAATAATTACAATGGAATGCCAAGTCATTTATTTTTTAGTATGAAGAAATACACACTTGGTCAGTGTTTGAAGTTAATTGATTCAAGCAATGTTACTGGTAGTGGTGGTGGATAAAATCATTGGCCTTTCAGTGAATGTAAGGAAAAAAAGAGGCAGGGGAGAGAGAGAGGAGCAAAATTCTATTCAGAATTTATCCTTAAAGATGCAGCAACCATCAAGACCAACTCTATGAGTTGGTATCAATATTAAATTGGTTTTGTACATAAAAGAAATATTGCCAAGAAAAAGAAACTGGTTTAATAAATCATTAAAATATCGAGGATGGTACATCGTTTATATGGTGTCATTGGGCAAATATCTCCAAATGCTTTCCAAGGACACAATGGTCGTACGGAGAAATATGCTTGTTCTGGATGGCATACAGAGCTATTCAGCGTTTTTCAAAACATATGTTTAAAGATACTCTCATAATTACATTCTCTTGGTACCTGATTTTTCCATTATGAAATTGCTAAACACAAACCACAGTAGTAATCCCCATACTATCACTCACAACAATTATCAAGATTTTCCTACATTTACTTTATCTCATTGAACAACTAAAGCAATTCTCACATATCGTGTCATTCACTGTTTCGTTTGTCAGTATGCATCCCTTGAAATGGTATCACCTTAAAGGTATTATCGCATATTACAAAATATAAATGGACCTTCTTTGATATAGCTCATCTGGAACATTGCCTAAATGTAGTAAAATAATTTTCTGTCAGAAATACCTCAGGGGAAGGGCACCCGTGAATGGAGAGGCACACATCTCCTCTGAAGGCAGTTGTGTCTGTGCAATTTTCTTCTCACAGCCAAATTAGCTGAGAAAAAAAAAGGGGGGGGGAATATTAGGAGCAGTTTTCAGAAAATGAATTATTGTTTAATCTGGAGAATGTAAAGGAATATTTTGGGTCCAAGCTATACTGTGGTTATTTGCTACTTGTTCAGATGTGACTGTGATCTGAAAATGATTGTGAACAAAAAACGCGGAATATATTCCTAACAGCTCATGTTCATAGCAGGATCTAGCTGTAGTAACCTCCTCCTTCCGCAGGACTTCTTCCTCAGTGCTCTTGGACCTTTCGTCCTCTGAAATGAATCAATCACAGATGTAATTTTACAAGAACATGTCCAAGATGTTCCGTAGTTCAGAAAAGTCTGATTAGCAATTGCTATAAACTGTAAGAAGGGGTCAGTTGCTTTCTGAACTGACCCGCACATTTTCTCTTATTTATGTAAAAGGGCTAAGTAGGGGATGTCATCTGAAATAACCTCAGCAATCAGACTTCTGATTAACTAAAAAGGAGAGACTGAATTTTTAACCAGCTATGTACTCTTTTCTGCTCTAAATGGAGAAGTATATTACCAACTGAATAACCTAATGTATTTGGAATAAATATGACACCCCCCTCTATTTAAATTTTTCCTGAGTCAGAAAACCTTCTAATTTTTTTTACTTGCCAAAGTGCTTTGAAATCTTAGATATTTGGTTTTGAAGTAAAAGCGCATAAGAGTAACTCTGCTTACTAATTCCTGTTGGTTAAGAACGATGCAGCATACATCATCTTTGAAAAATGTGTCGTCAATTAATGCTATCTTGACCATAAATATTTCTGACATTTTTGGCTCCATTAGCACAATACTACTAAAATTGCATTTTTAAGTGAGACATCTAATTATATAACTAGAAATAACAGCTATCATAACCTGTTTTAAGATTTCATCCGCAACCTGTTACATGATTTTTGTTGTTAATTCAAATTAATAACATTGCCCCACTCCAGCCAGCAACATGTTCTTCTAATCAACTGCTTTGGATTTTATATTTCACCTAAAAATCTGTCCAAGTTTGTTGACTTCTGTCGTGAATAGACCAAACAGTCCTTTTTTTTTTTTTTTTTTTTTTTTTTTACTTCTAAGGACAACATATCTAAAATAGCTAAGGAATAAATTTTCTTTGAATTTAAACAAATAGTGGCAAAATATTTATTATCATTTTAAAATTCACCTACTTTAAAAAAAAACATTCAAATACTGGACCTACCAGGATAGATAACATTCTCCTGAAATCTTACACATTTACCGGTACCTCAAGCACCACTAAGTGATTTTCATCAGGAACATGATCCTGCTCCCTCCCACCTACGGGCCCAAACAGGCAGAAACAAGTTACTCGGTCCACACACATCAAAGTCCTACCTGGTCTCTGTCCGTTGATAAGAAGAAGACTCATCACGAAAAGCAGAAAGGCAAAAAGAAATTGTTGCAACCTCATTTTCCTGCCCCCCCTGAAGTAGAGCAACAGCTCTCAATGTAAACCAGTCTTGAATAGTCTGTGCGGTATCTGTGAGGCTCCCCTCACATTCTACTGACGAGCCTCAGACAACGGCCAGCTGCTTTTTCCAGAAAGGTTAATGATCACATCAGACAAGGTTACTGGTGCTGTGGTCGAGCCTCCCTCGGTCGCAAACCCCTCCTCCCCTCCTCCCCCTCCCCCACCCCCTGACACTCCCCTTTATTTCCATAAGCAAATATTGGTGAAGTAAACCATTCAAGCGTGCTGTAACTTAGTGTCAGTCGGCTGTGGAAGCTTCTAGGGGAGACTTAAACTCAATCTGGAGGTGGAGAAATATGTAAAACGAGGCAGGGCTTTGCCCCCTCCCCTCACCATTTGCATCTGTTTAAACTTTGCATTGCCCATATTGGTCCCACATGCAGAAACCAATAGAAATGACAGGAAGTCTCTCTTTTGTCCTCTTCAGAAGGAATTCTGCCGCTCTGATTTAAGACTCCCAAATACTTTGTGGCAGAACATGTGCTGAAATGCTTTCTCTTTACCAAACGCATGGCCAAGTGGTGCCTATTTACTCCAAATCTCTAAATTGCTTAATCTCTGTGGTTTTCTATTAGTATCAACATTCCTGGGGTTTTAGAATGAATGTTCCGAAATGTTTATATTTTTATTTCACAAAGTGCAGTTTAAAAAGTAATGGAGATCATTTTCATCTGCAATACCATCCAGGATTTTTTTAAAAAGGAAGTTCAGGAAAGCCACAAACTCATGAAATCTGTGTTCCGTTAAAAATTTTATATGTAGTGGAATACCAGGCTAACATATCACAGGCACAGAAATGAGACGTGGAGAAATGAGTTCTCAGTTCATCTTCCACTGAATTCAGAAGACGCAGGAACAGCCTGCTATTGTCGCTCCCACACATGCACTGGGATCTTTTTTGAAGCATTTCCTTGTCATATGTAGCTGTTATAAACAGAAACCACTGTATTTACCTATAGAGCGAACCAAAAGGATGGTATAGATACACTCTAGAACACAGGTGGTGCCTAAATACCAAATCTAAAGCATGTGCAACTTGTTATAAGTGGCCATTCTAGGGCACTTTAAGTAAATAAATAAATAAAAGATTTAAATAGAATCTTCTCAAGGTTCAGGGAGTTGATGAACAACCTTGGGCTTCCAGAGATTTGAAATTAACGCGTAATTTGTCCTAATGTTATGAGTCACTCTGTGAAATTCCCTGCCTGCCTAATTATGCCTGAACTTTATAACAGGCAATAGCATACAGAAATTCTTCAAGTCACTTAAAATCCAATGACTATTTGCCCATTTGATGACTGTGAACATAATGTCGAAGAGTACTACATTCTTGTGCTGTATTTGTACATTGCTCCACAAAATCAATGGGATACAAGAATTTGGACTCATGATATAAAAATGCACCAGAAGAGGGCGCCAGGGTGGCTCAGTCAGTTAAGCATCTGCCTTCAGCTCAGGTCATGATCCCAGGGTCCTGGGATCCAGCCCTGCACTGGGCTCCCTGCTCAGCGGGAAGCCTGCTTCTCCCTCTTCCTCTGATACTCCCCCTGCTTGTGCTCTCACCCTCAAATAAATAAAATCTTAAAAAAAAAAAATGCATTAGGGAGTCTGGCTGGCTCAGTCAGATGAGCTACAGCTCTTGATCTTTGGGTTGTGAGTTCGAGCCCCACACTGGGTGCGGAGATTACTTGAAAATAAATAAACTTTTAAAAAGTAGTAAAAAATAGGGGTGACTGGGTAGCTCAGTGGGTTAAGCCTCTGCCTTCGGCTCAGGTCATGATCCCAGGGTCCTCGGATTGAGCCCCACATTGGGCTCTCTGCCCAGCGGGGAGCCTGCTTCACCCTCTCTCTCTGCCTGCCTCTCTGCCTACTTGTGATCTCTCTCTCTCAGTCAAATAAATAAATAAAATATTTTTAAAAAGTAGTAAAAAATAAAGTAAAAGTGCATCATGAGTAACAAAGGGTTGGTTCAAATTTTCACTTCCCCTTCAAACTTCCCATTATAGCATACTGGAAAACAGCAAGCTAACAAAATTGAGGGTTAACAAACCAGATTTTGACAATATAACTTCCGGCCAACTTTTAAGTATATTCTAAGGCAGAATAGTGAGTTTTCTTTAGGATAAAATAGTGACGGCCACAGACTGTGTATATTAAGATTGTTTATTTTTCATTACCAGATGATAAACAATGAACACCTAGAATACGGACAGTAAAAGCCAAGCACTGTGGAAGATATAGAACATCTCTACTGATCAGGATACAATGAAGTGTTGCATTTGTCATATAGACTTAGGGTTGTCTGGCTGGCTCAAGTCGGTAGAGCATGTGACTCTTGATCTCAGGGTTGTAAGTCAAGGTCCAGGTTGGTTGTAGAGATTATTTCAAAAACAAAACAAAACAAAACAAAAACTCTGTCATGTAACTACTTTGAACATCAATTTTCTTATTAAAAAAATGGTATAAAATACCAGGTTTTCTACCTGTAAGAGTTATAAGATAATGTATTACATTTACAAAACTTAAGGCATTATTTATTTATATATTTAAATAGTATTCGTGCCAAATTTAAGCAGTTGTTTTGGGGAGGGGGTTCAGCAATAAAGTGTTATGAAGTCGATGGGCAAACTGAAGTGCTAGACATTGAAAGACAATGACACGTGATCCAGCATTTCTAAGGAATGCGGGTTACCAATGGTGGTAAATCATTCATGTTAGTATTGAACAACCAGACATGGAGAAATCTCACTAGCAAAATGATTAGTGAAAACAATGCAAATGGCTCTGTAAACAGTGCTTGTAGCCTGGAGCTAGATGAAAAGGATGAATGATCTTTGTTTATGTGAACATAAAACCCCACTTCACCCTGCCTACAGCACTGGTCAGGCTCTGGTACCTTCTGGGCCAGTACCAGACTAAGTGTGTTGCTTGTATCACTCCACTTAATCTTCCCCCAAACACTGTGAAGTACTACTCCCTGTTTAGTAGATGAGAAAATGATCAACTGAAGAAGGTGTGGCCTCCAACGCTATACAACTGGGAAGACGAATCCATGGAGTTAAAAGTTCATGAACAGAGCTCCCAGCCATTTTGCTTCCTTCCCTCTTAGGCCCAAATCCTAGTTCTTACAATAAAGGCCTCTTAAGACAATTACAAAAGTCAGGATAAGTTAGGAACATACTTCTTGTACTGGATTGAATAGTGTCCCAAAATTCATGTCCCTGGAGCGTCAGAACATGACCTTGTTTGGAAAGAGGGTCTTTGCACACGTAAGTCATTAAGATTGAGATTGTACTGGAGTAGGGGGCTCTAAATCCAACATGACTGGTGGGAGTCCTTACAAGAGAAAGGAGGAGAGACAGAAGAACACACAGGGACACACAGGGAGAAAGCCATGTTGCCCCAGAGGCAGAGATTGGATTTATGTTTCTACAAGCCTAGGAACACCAAGGATTGCCAGCAACTGCCAAAAGTTAGGAGAGAGGCATAGAACATCCTCTCCCTCTGATCCCCCAAGAAGGAACCAAACCTGCTGACACTTTGGTTTTGGACTTCTGGCCTCCTGAATTCTGAGATAATAGATTTCTGTTGTTTTGAGCCACCCAGTTTGTGGTACTTTGTTAGAGATGCCCTAGGGAACTGGGGTCCCTGGGTGGCTGAGTCGGTTAAGCAGCCGACTCCTGATTTCGGCTCAGGTCAGGATCTCAGGCTCCTGAGATGGAGCCCGTGTCAGGCTCCATGCTCAGTGGGGAGACTGCTTGAGTTTCTCTCTCTCCCTCTGTCCCTCTCCCGGCTTTGCCCTCTATCTCTTCCTCTCTTTCCCTCTAAAATAAATAAATAAATAAACCTTAAAAAAAAAAATAAAAAAGGAAGAACTAGAGAAGCCCTAGAAAGCTAATACACTTATCTATATTCATTATTCTATGAGTAGGTGTATTGTCTGTATGATTCCACCAAAAAGATACTTATTTTAATTAATTGACCCACTATGTATTCAAATATTTTATTTATTTGTTTGTCAGAGATAGAGAGGGAGAACACAAGCAGGCAGAGCAGCAGGCAGAGGGAGAGAGAGAAGCAGGCTTCCTGCTGAGCAAGAAGCCCCATGCAGGGTTCCATCCCAGGACCCTGGAATCAGGACCTGAGCTGAAGGCAGTGGCTTAACCCACTGAGCCACCCAGGCGTCCCAAGATGCTTATTTTTATAATGGAATACTATTTATGCCAAGTATTATTGTTCTTAGACACCATACTCTGATGAAGTTATTGTTCTTAGACACCATACTCTGATGATTTACTTTTCACCTCCATTTTATAGATGAGAAAACAAACTCAGAATTAAGTGATCTGCCCCAAATTAAATTAAATAGCTAATAGCAAAGCCAAGGTGAGGCTTGTGTCTATATAGTTCTAGACCTCTTACTCCTTTGGTTTTGATCCCGTGCCTTTGTGTGTCCTAAGAGGTCCTGCCCCATCTGTCTTGCCTTCTTTTCCATCTGCATCTTATTATTTGCTTCTCTCTCTCTCCCTATGAATGTGCGCTCTCTAACCTAAAAATTGTCTCTCTGCCCAATTTCATTCAGCCCCTATTCAGCCAGAAGTCTGAAATAACTACGGCACCCTGACTGTTCTACTCCCTCACCACCTTTTCAGGATACATCTTCCTGATACTGAACTCCAATTTTCACCACCATGTGACTGAAACTTGTGTGTCTCACATAAAATCATTAAACTTTCAAATAGGGCCTTTTCTGGGAAAACCTTCATCCATCCAAGTTAGGATGAATTACTCTATGCTAGCATTTTCTTCTTTTCTAATTTTGCTCATACTATAGGTTTCTTCTCTTTGGAAAGACCTGCTCTGTTTGTACCAAGGTATTTAACTAAAGTCCTACTCATTGTTTAGGGTTTAATTCAATTATTCAAGGTCAGACCAAACAAATATTTGTTGAGTAATTAACACTATGTTCTGGGCTCCAGTTCTAGATACTAGGGATAAATTGAAGAATCAGACATAAACCCCACTCTTGAATTTAATCCTTATTAAATTTTATTTAATTGTATTTAACTTTTAAAAATAAATTCATT